AATTCCGTAGTCAGAGTCGAGGCGCTCGAGTCCGATCATTCGTCAGGAATTTGTGCAATGTCTTGTTCCAAACGCGAGGCGCTTGCTTTAGCCCATACAAACTCTTTTGTAGCTTGCATACGTAGCGCGTAGAGTCTTCTCCGAAGCCTGGAGGCTGCTCCATGTAGACCTCCTCGTCGAGATCACCGTACAAGAACGCGATCTTGACGTCATACTGCAAGATGGCCCATCCGCGTTGCAGCGCGTATACGATCACGCATCTGATCGTCTCAAATCTGATAACAGGTGCGTATGTTTCACTGTAGTCGATGCCCATGCGTTGTAGAAAGCTTCTGATCACCAGTCGAGCTTTATATCGCTTAATCCGGCCGTAGAGTCTCTCTTGAGCGCGTACACCCACTTGCACGAAATGACACGCTTGCCTTTGGCCTCCGTGCGTCGCACGAGCACCGAAGTTTCGTGCTGCTGCTGTGAGTCCATCTCAACTTGCATCGCTGCTTTCCACTCCTTCCACTTCTTTGACCTTGCCGCATGCTTGTGACTAATGGGGATCTGCACATCCTCGATGTTCGGCTTCGTCACATTCGTCACTACGTAGTCCTTGAGTCGGGCGGATGGCTGTCGCTTCCGCTTCGGTCGCGAGGTAGCTGCACTGTCGTCTGGCGACGAATTCTGCGTCGTGCATGGCTCCCAGTTCTCGTCTTTGTGAGCATCACGTCGATTGTCCTTGGCCTTCGAGGCTCCCACTCGATTTGCACATGCTTTCGCCTTATTCTTGCCCTTTGTGTTCTTCCGCTTGGAATCTCCCACTGAAGCTGCTGGCTTCTTAGCGTCCTCGCTTGGTAGCTGTGGGTCATCACTTCGAGTCGCATACTCGGCTTCAACTTCAACACCTTGGTTCTGGCTCTCACCAGCAGTAGCCAGCTTCGCCATTTTCGCTGCTCGCTTTTCTGCAAGCTCTGCAGGAAGCTGCAGGTACGTAGACATTGTCGTCCGGATCGGCACGATCGGGATCTCCGCAGGTAAGTCGTAGTCTCCGTAAGCGTAGGTGTTTGCAAGAAGTTGCTCAATATACACAGTGTTCACCGTGTACTTCTCATGTGCCTTCATGTTTCCATCTCTGCACGTCGTCACTGATCCTGTGCGCAGGTTCAGCAGCTTATAGCCCTTGGTCTTCTCGCTGTAGCCAAGTAGTAAGCACATCTGCGTCCTTGGAGTGAGCTTCTCCTTTCTCTGCCGAGAATCATCAGGGATGTGCGCGTGCACCAAGCACCCCCACGTGCGCAGCACGCTGAGGTCTGGCCGCTCTCCGTACAGGGCCTCGTACGGGGACTGCTGGTCCTTGAACACCGGCGTCGGCGTCTTGTTGAGCGTCTCAATTGCATGCAGGAAGGCTTCTCCCCATAATGAAACAGGCATTTGCGTAGCTTGTAACATAGATCTGACCTGCCGCATGGCGGTCTGGTTCGTGCGCTCCACGATAGCGTTCTCCTGCGGGCTGTAGGGATTGGATGAACGCGTGTCAATGCCGAGGTCCTTGCAGAAGGTCTCGAGCTGCATGTTGACGAACTCGCCACCACCATCGGAGAACAGCATCTTGATGGTCGTCTTCGAGAGCTGGATCTGGATCCAGCGAAATCTGCTTCTGAATCAGCTCCGTGGCTTCGTCTTTGTAGGCTAATAGATATCCCCACTTGTATCTCGTAGCTTCGTCGATAATCAATAGAAACTGGTTTGATTTCGATATTGTATCCACTCCAACACTGCATAGGTCGACACAAAGCTTGTGCAAGGGCTTTGCAGAGCGAGACGGCTTGCGCTTGTAGCTCATGCGCTTCGTCTTTGACTCTAAGCATGGAATGCATTCATAGAGAGCAAAATGCTTCGACTGCATGTTGATGCCAAAGGTATAGGTTCCTGCCATAGTCTTGATAGTCTCCATGTTTACGTGGCCCATGCGGTTGTGCAGCAACGTCATGGGGTTCTCAGCTTCACTGGCCTTGACGCTCATCACGTTCTTGCTCTGACGTGGCGTCCACATGCGGTACATCCCGCGGATGTACTGGAAGCGCAGCTTCAATGTGTCCTTGACCAGCCACGTAGTCTTCTGATCATGCGAGATGCGCACCTTGAAGTTTCCTTTGAATTGCATGTAGGTCTGCGAGATCAGGTTGTAGGCAGCCGACTTGGCGTAGCTCACGTCATCAAGGAGGCGCTCCTCGATCTTGCCCGTGTGCTCGTTCAGCACTTGCATAAGCACTGTGCCCACAGTTGCGCGCTCGGTTGTGCCGTTGCCGAAGACTAGCTCTGCAACTGAGTCTTCGTGTAGCTCCGTAAACAAGGTAAGGTCGCTCGAGACGTTGGTCTGCGCGCCGCTATCCAACACCCACTCCACCATGTCCTGGTCCTTGTCCTTGTCCTTGTAGTTGAAGTTGTCACGCACCGCGAGTACATGCTCTTGTCCTTCAGCTTGAGTCGGTGCAGCCGACTTGGCTGTCTTCACAGTAACCACATCGATCATCCTGCGCGGCGGGTTGCTCGAGTTGTTGTTGTTGTTATTGTTGCCACGCTGGCGGCACTCAGGATCGCCACTCCAATGTCCTTGCTCTCCGCACGTGTTGCACTTCGTCTTCGCCTTTCGCTTGGCGATGTCATCCCTCGCACTGGATGAGTTCTTGCTCTTCTGCCGCTTGTTCCGCCCACGCGGCGATGAGCTGCGGCTGCGACGATTGTTGCGGTTGTTGTTGCCTCGTGCTTGGCTGCTGCTCGAGTTTCGACGTTCTCTTTCGTCGTTGTGTCCGTCGCCACGGCCACCAACAAATGCAACATCTCGCTGGACGGCACGTCCACCTCCACCACGTCCTTGCTGTAGTTCAGTCTCTTGGCGTGAGTGGTCAGCGAGTCGAAGGCGCTCGATCGCTTGCTCCCACGTAATGGACTCATCACGTCCAATACGTACTTCATGCTCGTTTACCACCGCTGGGTACACCCCCACTGTATTTGACAATAGGATAGAGACGGTTTCCTGCTCAGGCAGCTGCTTGTTCGCGCGGCGAAGTCTCTGTTGGTAGTCGTCGATGTCACGAATGTAATCGTCAAGTCGTTCGTCACGTTGCAGGCGACGATTCAGCATATCTCGCTTGAGAAACACGCTGTTTACTCCAGGATGGTTATCAAAATGATCTCCATGTTGCCACATAGATGGATCGGCACTTGAAACAACATTTTAATTGGCTCTCGTGAGATCTTCCGGAGTTAAATTACCTCTTCTGAAAATTGCACTGTGAACCAACAGGCGTTGCTGGTCTGAAAAACGGTCGGCCTTTCTCTTCTTGAACTGTGTTCTGACATTCTTTTCGCGCTACCCACTGGGGGGGGGGGGGGGCCCCACAGAGAGTTGTTGCGACTTCGAGAATGGAGCAAATCTCGACGCGCCACGTCTGGTAGTTGGTATCGGTAAGTCTTGCGCTCAACTGCACGTGTCCGCTCTGGTTCATGCACCGCGTGCATCTGTGGTCTCCAACCATGGGCTCGTCCGTAGCGGAGTCGGTCCCGGCCTCGGTCTGGACTGGCTGCGCTGCAGCCTCGGACGTTCTTGGGTTTCTTGGCGGCTCGCTCTGACGCGTGCTGGCGCCGGCGGTAAGTTCCTCTTTGCTTGGGTTTCCTCGGCGGGGCCCGTACGGCGTCGGCACTTGCTGCGGTTGTGCTCGAGCCGCTGAGAATTCTTGAATGAGCTGCCTTTGTGGGCGTCGGGTGGATTCTTCCACTGGAATGTTCTGCACTTGCTGCTGATTTGTCAGTGTAGTCATAACGGTACCGAATTGGGCCAATAAGAGCTCGAGTTGCTGCTCAACTCGGGTTGATGACGCTTGTGACGTCGCATGTGCCTCGTCTGACGTTGTCTCGTCTGCTCTTGCAGGCAGCTGCAACTCGTCGGACGCGCGCGAGCTCTGCGTACTCCGGACTGGGCTTCCAGTTCTCCTTCTTGGGCTCATAACCTGAGTGATGGTCGCTCCTCGGCTACGCCGAGTGGTGACCATTGTGATGAAGGAAGTAGTCGTAACAACAGTAAGTTGCAGGGACTGAAAGTCCAGCAGGGGAGAAACCCGAGTGCTGCTGCTTGCTCTTGACGGCGCAAGTTGTCGAGTGTGTAGCAGCACACGGAAAAACCCCGGTAACATATATTGGTAGGATTAACAGTAGGATGGGGCTGGCGGCTCGCCAGCCAATGGTCCGTCGAAGTCCGGCTTCTGGACGCGAATATCGCGTCCTGGAGGCACCTGAGCCTCAGGTTTGAGCTGGACGCAGTCCTGGCTCTTCCTCCACACTTCACAGCTGGCGGCAGTCGACCTCGTTGAGAGGATCGGGCTCACTGCCGCCGTTGAGAAGCTGGGCCACCCGCACGGCACGGTGCATGGGTGGTGGGTCGGTAGGGCCAAGCTGCGCGTCTACGAGGGGAACAAGTTGGACAAGACGACCAAAGGGCAGGGACGTAAGGAAAGCTTTCCATTTACCTCTGCCCTTTTGACGTACATGTACATGAAAGACGTACGCCGCGACGAAGAAGTGAGTTATATAAATTTTATAGTATTTTATTATTACTTACTCTTTTATTATTACTTACTCTTACTGTTTAACTCTTGTAGTTTCTTACTACATCAGGAATGATTGCGTTTATTCAAGAGAACTACCCTGACTGGATAGAGGCCTACGCGGAGAACAAGAAGTCTGACGTGAGTTGCAGACGGGCCCTTGAACGTCTACTGCAGCGAACCGCCGACCGGTATTATCTGTAAAATATTATTGCATTATTAACTGAGTTATTAATATTTTTTTCGAGCATGATTTTAGTTACGGATTCTCAACTCAAAAAGCCCAAGAAACCAAGCTCCCAAGTGTGGATCTGCAGCGCTTAAAAACGGATTTTGCAATTGAATTTTGGAGTAAGTACGGCTCATACTCTCTACCGGAAATCTACAACATGGATGGAACGGCCATCCAGTTCGACATGCCGCCAGCAAGAACCTGGGCAATTAAAGGGCGAAAAGGATCAGCTAAAATCCAAAATCTGACAAAACACTGCGGACGCATGACGGCTGTCTTGACAGTTCGCGCTGATGGTAAGTTTTTTTTCTTTCCTTGCGCTAATTATAAGTTTTATATATATATTTTACTTTTGTTTACTAAAAATGTTTGTTTATAGGAAAAAAACTTCCGATTCTCTTCATACTGCGCGGCAAACGTGGCGGACTTATTGATTCCAACGAGTTAAGCACGCTGCCAAGTGGTCACTTTTACACAGTACAAGAGTTTGGATGGATGGATACAGTCAGCTGGGAGTTTTATGTAGAAAACATTATAAAATATGAAATTGACTCCCCTGCCCTCCTCTTAGCGGACAATTTTTATTGTCACGTTTCAGAGGAGGGTATGCGTGTGGTTGCCGAACAGGCATGCGCTACAGTGA